ATGAAGCCCAACTTCTGGATATACGCTCCTCCTACATGTCCTTGCTCATTCTTCAAGGATCTTCTTCTTCAAAATCACAAAGAATGCATAAAATAGGCTCAAAACTCTCAAAAGTGAATTAGGGTTTCGTGGCTAGGGTTTGGGACAATGGAGGATGGAAATGAGGCCAGCTTATGGGGGTTAAGGTGTTTAAATATGGTGCAAAACCTTGAAAATTAGGGTTTCATTATGCCAGCCTACTCGTCAAGTTGAGGCTTCTCAACTCGTCGAGTAGACTTCTTAACCTACGTCTTGATCCATCTCTACTCGACAAGTTTGGAGCCTCCAACTCGTCGATTTTCTATACAAAAATGAATAAGTTATGATTCTAAATACATACTAGAAACTAAGCGTTATAGTATTCTGTTTACTTATAAAAAATATATTATCATGTTTAAATAATATATTTTTTTTTCTAAACAGTTAAACAAACATGTGGATTCTTTGAGACACATGCCACTACCATACCCCGACCTTTGCACACAATTGTTTGAAGGCGCAACTGCGAGAGGCATTCATAGTTGGGGGCCAACTTCTATCCTTCTGTGTCCTACTCAAGATTCAAACCACTATAGTTTGCATGACTTTGATGACATCGATTGCACCCAACAAGAAACTATAGGTCTTAGTGAGGAGTATTACTTGATCTTTGGTTTGAACTAGATTTTTATATGACAAGAAAGACTTGATCTTTGGTTTGAACTAGATTTTTATATGACGTGAATGACTTGATATTTTGTATTACTTGATCTTTGGTTTGAACTAGATTTTATATGACATGAATGACTTTAATGTTTTGGATGAGTTTTTACGTTATATGTTGTTAATATAATTGTTATGTATTTTCAAAATAACAGATTGCTTATGAATTCGGATGAATAAATTGCATTTTTCATTTTACTATGTTGTTATTGGTTGGATCTAGCATCTAATATAATTGGAAGGGTAATTGATAACGATTTGGAAATGAGCGGTCATCAACATACACAAGAATTGTTACATGGAACTTCTACACAATGCACGAGTTGATGCATCTTTCACGTGAAGCGTGTGTACTTTTATGCAATAATTTTAGACGAAACAATTGGTTGCAAAGCAGTAGGCATATAAGTGTTGAAGAAAAGATGACTATGTTCTTGACAACTACAACACATAATAAACGGTTAAGGATTATCAAACGAAGGTTTCAACACTCCACATAAACTGTTCATAGATGCTTTCATGAGGTGCTAAATGCAATGATGATTTTTCAAAAAAAAGTTATAGTGCCAACAAATTCTAATGTAACCGTGAATTCCTCAGAGAGACATCGTAGGCTAAAAGAAATATTTCCTGGAGCAATAGGTGTGTTAGACGGAACTCCTGTACAGGCAGTCGTGCCTGCTAATCAACAAACTCGCTACAGGGGAAGAAGAAAAGGTGACTGTTTTCTAAATGTTTTAGGAATTTGTGATTTTGATATGATATTCACATTCGTATGGGCCGACTGGGAGGGCATAACACATGATTCGTGAGTTTTGAAAGAAGTTGCATTTAACCCGACTTCAGGCTTTCCGTTCCCTCCTCCAGGGTTGTAATTGTTTTTAAATTTATTCTAAAATACGATTTTAAATTTCTATATATAATACTTCCTTCACTCATGTGTATAGATAAATATTACATTTGAAATGTTGCATACACCAACACACGTGGATTTATGACTCTTTACCGCAACACGAGACATTGGTTATCCGATTATCGACGACGACGTGCATTAACTAAAGAAGAAAAATTCAATCATGCACATGCCCAACTCATAAATGTTATTGAACGTGCTTACAGTATTTCGAAGGCGAGATTCCCAATCCTAAAGCAAATGACTCATTTTCCCTTTCCAGTGCAAAGAGATATAGTCGTTGCTTGTTTTGCAGTCAATAATTTCATAAGGGAATGTAATTCATGATGAGTTAATAGATGATTTCATGAGGTGTTAAATGCAATGATGATTTTTGCAAAAGAAGTTCTAGTGCCAACGAATTTTAATGCAATCGTGAATTTCTCAGAGAGACATCGCAGGCTAAAAGAAATATTTTCTGGAGCAATAGGTGCGTTAGATGGAACCCAAGCACAAAGGGGAGAGAATCATGGGATTTATTTTCCTTTTTTCAGTGCAAAGATATATCGTCGTTGTTTGTTTTGCAGTCTATGATTTCATAAGAAAATGTAATATTTATGGCGTTCAAGGAAAACAATGCTTAAGCACAACGGGGAGAGAATGATGGCCAAAACGTATAAGATACGAAATGGGGTTTACAAGACAATGAATACATGAATAATTTGCGTGACCAAATTGCAAATTAATTGGGTTCAAATTAAATTTGTAGGATTTTATTTGGATTTTAGTATGATTTTGTGCATTTAAAATTATTTATGTTTGATTTGGATTTGTGTTTAATTTTGATTTATACTAAATTTGGATTTTATATGATGTTTATATATATATATTTTTTATACTTATTTAAAAATTTTATTAGGTCATTTTCTAAACAAACAATTGAATTCAATAAAAAAATTAAAATAGAAAGATAAAATGATCATTTATAATTCAACACAACAATTCAGAGGTCTAACCGAATAACATGTTAAACATTCGACTCTTAAAATTTCAATCACTCTTAAAAATTTAGATCTCTTCAAAATTCATATTCTGCAAACAACACTCTACCCATTACTCTTCATAAAGTAAACATAATTTTTACATTATCTATCCAGTAAACATATTTCTAAATTTCCAAATATAAAAGTATTGGTAAACATTTTTTTCTACTTTGGCAACGAACGTAGAATTTATTAGTAGCGATAGTCAAGACTTAATTGTTTAATTACAAATATGTAATTAACGTTTTTAACTAAACAAATAAGAATTATGTATAATTTATTAGTAGTGATAGTTACGACTTAAGTATTGGGTTAAATGGCATGCAATAGTACTTTTAGTTTATACGGAGTATAAGAATTATCATTTATGCATTAACAATAAAAATATAAATTATTATGGTATAAATAACAATTAATCTTTAATAATAACAATTATAAAAAAATATACTTCTTGGAATGAGATTATTTAATTCCACACGTGAAAATATAAGTTAAGGAAGGAAATCACCATCACGGAAGAGGCACAAGGATCGCGATCCGCATTCTCTTCTAACATACAATCTAAGCCGTCCATTTCTTATTTGAACAATCCAACGGTTTAGGATTGTTCGCGCTATTCTCCCCCAAAGTTTCAAATCTCCCACAACCTCCGTTAATAAATACAAAATCTCTTTCCCCCTTTTTCCCACAACACTCGATCGAATCTACTAACCAAACACAAAAGGCTCACTTTGTTTTCCGAATTCTCAAAAAATGGCAAGAACCAAGCAAACTGCTCGCAAATCAACAGGTGGAAAAGCACCAAGGAAGCAGTTGGCGACAAAGGCGGCGAGGAAATCTGCTCCGGCGACCGGAGGAGTGAAGAAGCCACACAGATTCAGGCCAGGAACTGTTGCACTAAGAGAGATCCGTAAGTACCAAAAAAGTACCGAGCTTTTGATCCGCAAGCTTCCATTTCAGAGGCTCGTGAGAGAAATCGCTCAGGATTTCAAGACGGATTTGAGGTTCCAGAGCAGTGCTGTTGCTGCACTTCAAGAGGCGTCAGAGGCTTACTTGGTGGGTTTGTTTGAAGATACTAATTTGTGTGCGATTCATGCTAAGAGGGTTACAATTATGCCTAAGGATATGCAATTGGCTAGGAGGATTAGAGGGGAGAGGGCTTAAATTTGTATTGAAAATTCAGTTTCGGATTTTTTTTATTGTAGAAAGTAATCACGGCTTGTGGGTTTGTGTTATTGTGATCTGCTTGTGCTTGATTCAATGAATATTACAAGGCATATTTTCAATGAATATTATGAAGACATGAATTTCAATGAATATTTTGAATGAACCAAATGATGATTTTTGTGTATCATGTTCTTCTCCAGTTCTAATTCACACACGTAATGATGATTCTCGAATATAATTTCTCACTTTTTCCTTATGTGGAGAAAATTACTTTGAAAGGAAATACAGAGAATCTGGGTTTAGGGTTACTTTTGATGCTTCAGTGATATGGGGACTTATCGGACCCATGGACTTGTCCGAGCTTTCTTGCCTGTTCCCGTTTTGTTTTTGAGCAAGATTTTCCTTGAGAAGAAATGGATTCCATTGATCAACATCCCTATTCTGTCATTGTTTTGATGGAATGCCACCTGTAACTCCTACAAACTTTGCAAGCTGCTTTGTGACAGGGATGATCTTTAAGTACTTTGTGTTTAAGTACCGGAAACAATGGTGGCGGAAGCAAAATTTTGAGGAATTCGAGTTACCTCTGTTGAGAACTCCCTTTTTCGATTATAAACTGTGCGATGATGTCATATTCTGGTTGTTGGTTTGTGGTTGCTGGAATGACTCCAATGGCGAAACCCAATAACTCAAAAAATGCGATTCCAGATCTGCTATTGCCGGAGATAAGGAATCGCAGGAAGCTAGAGGTGGAACTCAAACCCCTCAAAAAAAAAAAGTTTTACTCAAACCCCTCAAAAAAAAGTTTTACCTGCTATTTCATGTAGACCAACCATATTACTTCTTATGATCTAAAATGTCTTTTTATTTTTTTATTTTAGGGGAATGAGTTGTTATTTACCGGCTTAATTGGTCTATTTACTTGTTTTAAAAGGTTTCCGATACAGGTCACAATCCACGTAAGCAAGTGAGTCAACTCGATGACAATGTCACATTGTCAGTGAGTTGGGTCCGGTTCATTGCTTGGGCCCTAAGGGTTAGTGTGGACCCTCTCTTTAATAAAAGGAGGGTTATATTGGTTGTTACCTTAAATGTTTATGCCCCTTTTCCACTAAATGATAACGACATTCTGACACATCCCTTTCACGTGAATCACGATGGCTACCCCACCACCACAATCATCCGATTCAGTATCCATAAATTCAAGAGACCGTCTCAACTTTGACAATTTGCATACTATTTTTTGTGAATGTGGAGCTCAGATTGCGGAACAAAAAGTTGAAGTGGATCGTTTGAAAGAAGAAATGGATCGAGATTTGGTCATGTGCAGGATGGATTCGTTGGCATTGCATCGTCGATTAGAGCAGGCAGAGAAAAAGTTGCACTCCGTGATTGTTTTGGTGGTAGGACTGGTGATTGTGATATTTGGTTTTCTAATGGAGAAGGTTCTTGATGTATTGAAGAAGTGATATGTTGGTGGTCGTGGTGTTTGTGTTGATTAGATATGGATGTGTTTGTGTTGTTTAGGTAATGTGTTTGTATTAAGGTTTATGTGTTCCATATGTCTTGTTGTTCAATTTAGTTTGTATCCTGCTGTTAATCTTGTGAAGGTGGATGAAGATGTAACATCCCAAAAATTTCGTTTTAATTAAGTTATTACATAAAACCATCAGTATAAAAACATTCATAATAACATCTCATGTCAAAACCAAAATGTCAATAATCAAAACATAGTATCAGAAAACCATATCAGAGTGTAATCCCAAATATCTCGTGTACGTAAAACATGGTGTGATGCGATGCGATCAAGCCGACTCATTTCCTTTGAAAATGAAGTACCTAAAACCAAAATTAAAAACCGCAACATAAAGCTTAGTGAGTTCCTCATCATACCACATACCATACAACACACATACCGACAAGTATATCCAGGTGTTGACCTACCCCTTCAGTATCTTTCAACCGGTATCCGGGGACTGTTTCACCCCTATAACTACCACATAATAACATAGCATAACATACATAAATATACTGTCAGACATATCTGGGTGCTCGACCTACCCCTTCGATATCTTTCAACCGGTAACTGGGAGTTAACCTCCCCTTCGGTATCTTTCAACCGGTAACTGGGAGTTAACCTCCCCTTCGGTATCTTTCAACCGGTAACCGAGAGCTAACCTCCCATTCGATATCTTTCAACCGGTAACCGAAGACTATTTCATCCCCTACCACTACCACATAATAACATAACATAACGTACTGCTAGACATGCATGGGTTCTGACAACCCCTTTAGAATCTTTCAACCGGTATCCGGGGACTATTTCACCCTTACTACTAGTAACACATATAGCAGAGCATCCTAGCACATACAACATATCAGACAGTTGCAAACTAGATAATTATCACAAATACAATCATCTCATACATAGTCACCTACTAATGGGCTGACATTGGTGCCATAGACCCACCTCTACTGGAAGGTAACTCACCTCACATTGCTGAAGTCCCGCAGACACAAGCCTAGTTGCTGGATGACAAGTTCCGAACTGTCAACATCAAAATAACACCAAATTAATAATTGGGTTCCAATACATAACCATAAGTCCCTTCTTGGGGTAAAAGACTCCTTTACCCCAATCTTAGCTTGATCCAAGCCCAATGCCCAATCCGAAGGGCTAACAGTCAACTATGAATCAAAGCCCAACATATGGCCCAATTTTCCAAATTGGGCCCAAACCTTTACATGATCTTATTCAAATGCCCAACCATTCATTCCAGTCCAACATTTGACATTTTAATGGCCCAATATCATATAATCATTAAGGCCCAAACTATGGACTATCTATTACCCAATTTTCTAAATTGGGCCGAAACCTTCATATGGGTCTTACCTTAAAGCCCAACAACATATTCTAGTCTATATGATTATTCTTGGATGGCCTGTTAATAACCCAATTACCAAAGCCCACTAGAAAGGCCCAACATAAAGCCCAAGTGAAATTAGAGTTTTCACATAAAATGACAATTAGGGTTAAGTGTTTCTCACTTAACCCGTTAAGAACTTACTCCATTAAGTCCGTCACTCTACTAGATAAGTCATATGGTGATTGGGTGTACTTCATTTTCCATTCCAATGGCCCAAATGTGGGTCCCGATAAGTCCAAGGCCCATATATCCCAAAATTAGGGTTTTCTAAACCCTATTTAGGGTTTCCATCCCAATTATAGCCTAATAGGCCCAATAGCTAGGTCTTTTGATCAATTTGGGTTCATTAGGCCTATTAGGGTTTCACTAGTCGGGCACCACCCACTACATTATTTTGTTTGGCTTGTATCGATGATGTTTTGGAAATATTTGTTTTATTAATTTAAAAATGAAATTTTCGGGTCTTGTTTTTAGAATGTTACATCATCCATTTCAAACCATTCATTAATTTCAAACATTTCAAACTTAATATTTTGTTACACTTATGACTAAACGATAATAAAAGAAAACGCCTTTACAAATGTTATGTTATGATTTAGTGTTAATTCATATTGTATTTTTGTGCTTAATTCGTATTGTAATATCATTTTTAGACGAGCATATAAAATCATGAGATTATAAGATATTCAATATTGGTATATACTTGAAGGTATTTGTTAAATCTATTTAATGATATAACTTGCTAAAAATAGTATATAAATTATAATAGTATATTATGAATAAATTAATCTAAAAATAATATATAATATATATTAAGGGTTAAAAGAAAATGATTCAATAACAAAAGATATAAACAAAAAATAGATAAAGTTGAAAGTTTGTGTTATAACATTTAAAGGTAACAAATGTAATTATTTAAAATTATTTCAGAATAAAAAAGTTATATAATGTTAAAAATGATAGTCTCCTAAAACTAACATATTCTACGAATGATGTTAAAAAACAACATACTTCTATAAAAACTTCAAAAACCCTACATTTATTGATTCCCCTACATGTGTATGTTTGTTTATTTCTCTCTCTCTCTCTCTCTCTCTCTCTCTCTCTCTCATTTTTCCATTTTTAAATTTCAAACACAATATTCTTTTGATAAATTCAATTTCCCACGGCAGTACCATAGTTGGAATTTGTTGCAATAATGATACTTGAATTACAATATGACGTTACAACTTGTTTGTTGGGGTGGGCATTAGAACTGGTAGATCGGACTAAACATGGACCCACACCGTAATGGTACCGGTTTTATGTAGAATGTTCGGTTTTAGGTTCTTGGATTGGCTGTGTTCCGGTTCCGTTTTTTTAGCCATGTGGGTTTGGCGGTTCCTGGGTATTGTCCTGAGGGGGACAATGTCAAACTAGGTTCCTGCCTTTTGAAGTACATGACACGAGACTGGTGGGAGGAGGTAGGACATGTAGTGGATGATGATGCTGTTGATGTGATTTCATGGGTTGATTTCTTGACCAGGTTCCGAGCTGAGTTTGCACCGGTGATTGAGGCACAACAGTTGGCGCGAGAGTTTCAGGATCTCCACCAGACTACGGAGACGGTGATTGAGATCACCACGATGTTCCGGGAGAGGGCACTTCTAGTTCCGCAGTATGTGGCTGATGAGGAGATGAAGAATACCCGATATCATGAGATGTTGATGAGCAATATTCGACAGTTTGTAATCCAGTCCAGCTGCAATACGCTGGAGGATATGATAGCGAGAGTTAGGGAGATGGAGATTGATCTGGAAATGGAGAAGAAGAGGAAACTAGAGGCCCAAGGTATCTAATTCTAGATCCAGAGGCCAACAATAGTAGGGCTAGCAAAAATTGTATCATGGAAAACCAATCAACATGTTACCAACCGAACCAACCAATTCATTTGATATATATACATATATATATATATATATATATATATATATATATATATATATATATATATATCAATTGTTAATTGTATTTAGTGTTTACAGTTTTAATAACATTATATTATTCATTTGGTCGTATTAGTCAATTGTTATTACTATGTTAAAGCACAATATTAAAACGTTACTTTAGCGTTACTTCAGTAGAATTCTTTTGTAAACTAAAAGAACTACGTAACTAATTTCTATACTACACATCAAAATCCCAATGTCGTTGCTTATTTTTAAATCTTATAATAGAAAATTAAAAGAAGTTGGTATATATGATTACCAATTTGTACCAACCAAACTTGTTGGTAGGCAAATAAATCGGTACCAAGGATACTTGGTACAGTACCGATAGCAATTTTTTTATATCAATTATAGTTGGTACAACATACGGTTTAGAGAAAAATGAATTGGTACCATACAAATTCCACTCCTAAACAGTAGGCCTGACAATGGAGCGGGTTTTGACCCTGATCCAATCCAAACCCTTAACAATGATATGGGTTTGGAGCATAGTTTTTGATCCTTTTACCCGTTAATGACCCGTACCCGCTAACTCTTTTATTAAAAAGGTCGGGTATGGATCATCATTGATCCGCCCCATTTATAACTCGTCCCGTATAAATTTTAGAATTATATATATATATATATATATATATATATATATATATATATATTATGCTACCTAAAGTTTACTTTTAATTCCAATCGAAAGTCAAAAGAGAAAAGTGATGGGTTATGAGCAAAATATCAATCGTATGATGTACATGCAAGCCCTAAAGCTTTGGATCTAGTTTGTCTAATAAACATGCAATAATCATCCAAAGCTCATAAACCCTAGATCTAACATACAATAATCAAATTAACATATGAGTTAGGGTTTAGATCTTACCTTGATTGTTATTTAGCAATAACAATCACAAATCTCCTTGATCTTGACTCTTGAAAGCTTAGTGCCTCAAATGTTGCACCTCTAATGAAATCACAAACACCATGACCAACAAGATGACTTAGGAGAAGGAGGAGGAGGCACAAAACATCCAAGAACCCTTAGGGATTACTTAACCAGGTTTTTGGGAGCCTTAGGGGTCTTTATATACTTGTGAGGGCTGCTAGGGTTTCAGGTGAAACCCTAATTCTCTGTTTAGGCCTTAAGGAACCCATGAAGTCCTTCTAGAAAGCCCTTGGACGAAAATCATATGGGCTTCCCATCGATTTTGTCCAATCCCCTTTCCATTAGGAATCCATAGCCCAATTGAAACTATCATATAATTGCAATATCAGTTCCCTTTATTTAATTAATCTATTTTAGTCACAAAACTAATTCTTAATTAATTCTTGACTAATATTAATTAAACAATATGATTTCTCTTTTAATATATTATTATTATTATAATATATTAATAAATTATAATTAATCGTCTTTCTCCTTAATTCATCCTATCAGTTGCTATAGTCAAGGCAACCCAAAAGAACCATGCTCGTAATCGGGTCAAGTACATACCAAAATAGTTATGGGCTTAGACACCTAATCCAACAAAAAGACCAAAGACTAAACTGTTTTTACATGGGTCTTGAGGACTTGATTTCTAGACTTCCAATCATCTACTAAGAATCCTAATGTCATTCATTTGTATTCCATCAAGCAATCACCAATTTCATTTGTATATCAATAAAGTCATTTATCAACCAAAAGAAAGTTTGTAATTGCTATTCGTTATCAATGCAATCTACAGTAAAAAATCAATCAGAAGTTACTACAGTAATGATTTTAATTCCAATCGAAAGTCCTCGAGTACGTAATGTGTTTTCTAAATCAACATTTGTTTTATTTGATAAATGTTATTTTAATATTTCCAAAAAATATGTTTGATTTTTCAAAAAATGTACGAGTTACGGGGCGGGTTTGGATATATGACGATTTGGTGGATAAGGGTATGAGTTTGACTATTCAAAACCCTGCATGTTACGGAGCGGGTTTGGATCGGATTTTGAAATTTGTTAAAAAGGTTTGGGTCAAGGTTGATTCGCTCCGAACCCGCCCAATTTCCAGGTCTAGCTCAGGGCCGGAGCCGTTGTGGTAAGAGCGACAAGGTGCACGAGGGAGCATGCATGGTGGGTGCTTCTGGCTGCTTCAAGCGCGGCCAGACTTGTCATATTAGCAGAGATTGCACTGCTACCACCATCACCACCGTGATATTTGATCTGATTTGCTTCCATTGCAATCAGAGGGGCCACAAGAAGACCCAATGTTTGAGTTTGGCTGCAACAGGATAGGTGTCAGCACCCACTCCTACAACTCTTCGGTTTACGAACGGCCACCAGGGGCGGGTAGACGCACATGTGGTGAAGAGAAGGGATTTCCAGTTTGACGGCCGAGGAGGCGCGTCCAGCTCCCAACGTGGTGACGAATATGTATCTTCTCCTTATCTCTTTATTTATATTGAATTGTTTGCTTACATTTATGTATTTTATTTTAGGATCATTCCTTGTGAACGATATTTCTGCCTTGGTATTGTTTGATTCAGAGGCTACCCGATCATTTGTATTGCTTGCGTTGAGCAAGAGATTCGCTAGAGCCCCGAGGGAGCTGGATTGTCCTCTAGATGTCGAGATTGATCATGATAGGTCTGTTCGGGTTGCAAGGGTTCATCGGGGTTATACTCTCAAGTTATTCAGCGAGCAATATCTGGTTGATTTGGTTCCCATTCCTCTGGGTGGGAATAAGGATATCGTGGGCATGAATTGGTTGAGCCATAATGGGGGCAATGATCGATTGTGAGTAACAGTTGGTTCGGGTTCAGAACCCTAGTAGGGGAGAGATAGTAATTCATGGGGAGAGATCTCAGCGTGGGCCGATTTTGTGTTCAACAGCGAGGGCCAACCGCTATCTTTGACAAGGTTGTTCCGGTTCCGCTTTTTGGTGTTTTACTCTGTTTGTTATGATGTTTGATATATTATTTTGTTTGGCTTGTATCGATGATGTTTTTGAAATACTGGTTTTATTAATTTAAAAATAAATTTTTTAGGTCTTATTTTTGGTATGTTACATCATCCACTTTAAACAATTCATTAATTTCGAACATTTCAAACTTAATATTTTGTTACATTTATGACTAAACGATAATAAAAGAAATGCCTTTTCAAATGTTATGTTATGATTTAGTGTTAATTCGTATTGTATTTTTGCGCTTAATTCGTATTATAATATCATTTTTAGATGATCATATAAATTTATGAGATTATAAGATATTCAATATTGATATGTACTTGAAGGTATTTGTTAAATCTATTTAATGATATAACTTGCTAAAAATAGTATATAAATTATAATAGTATATTATGTATAAATTAATCTAAAAATAATATATAATATATATTAAGGGCTAAAACAAAGTTATTCAATAACAAAATATATAAACAAAAAATAGATAAAGTTGAAAGTAAGTGTTATAACATTTGAAGGTAACAAATGCAATTATTTCAAATTATTTTGGAATAAAAAAGTTATATAATGTTAAAAATGGTAGGTCTCCTAAAACTAACATATTCTATGAATGATGCTAAAAAACAACCTACTTCTATAAAAACTCCGAAAACCCTATGTTTGTTGATTCCCCTACATGTGTATGTTTGTTCATTTCTCTCTCTCATTTTTTCCATTTTTAAATTTCAAACACAGTATTCGTTTGATAAATTTAATTTCCTACGGCAACACCATAGTTGAAATTTGTTGCAATAATTATACTTGAATTACTATATGATGTTACAACTTGTTTGTTGGGTGGGCATTAGGACAAATGGACCGGAATGATATTTGTTTTATGTTGAATGTTCGGTTTTAGGTTCTTGGATTGGCTATGTTCCAATTCTGTTTTTTAGCCAGGTGGGTTTGGCGGTTCCTGGGTATTGGACCAGTTTGAATCGAAAATTGAAGAGTAAGTTTTTATGTCTAATCTGTGAAATTTTTAAAAATTGCATAACTAATTCGTTTGAAGTAAGATTGATATGAGATCTTTTTCACAATGTAGTTTATAATTTGTATTTCGGTTTAGGCTATAGTTTCATCATTTTTGGTTCCATATTGAATGTGTTACAGTCTCTGAAGTCGGGGTATCAAAGCTGAAAGTTTTTCAGCTTTAATCTGTATTATATAAAACTTTTAAAAATTGCATAATTTATTCGTTTGAAGTCAGATTAAAACGAGATTTTTTACAACATGTAGTTTATAGTTTGTACTTCAATTTAGGCTAAAATTTCAACATTTTTGGTTTCACATTGAATGAGTTATAGTTTCCCGAAGTCTAAGTATTAATGCTTAAAGTTTTTCGCTACTGCTTCAATGACTTATACCATACGCAACGAATATTGTATTGGTCCAACAGGTCCAAGAATCCGAACTGATACCAAAACCAGTATGTGCCACTAGGTTCGGTCCAAGATCCAATTGATTCTCTAAAACCGTATCTAATCCGGCTGGTCTAAATGTTCACCCTTACTTAATAGAATAGATTTTTAGAGTTATCTCCTTATAGGTATTCAGTATACATATAATTAAGTTGGAGTAAGTCATGAAACAAATTTCTATTTTTCTAGCTAATCCTTTTTAAAATTATAAGAAGTACTGGACTGTGGAATGGGAAGAAGACACATAAGGAATGAACTGACCTTCTACATGGAAATCGTAGATGTGGAAGGCCAAAATGCAATTACTGTTACGCTGAAATTCACAGTAATTGTAATTGACAAACTTAATGAAAATTTACCAACAAAGGAAGGCCGAAATTTAAAACCTTATTGAATCGATCACAAACTGAATCTATATATCATCAATCTCGTTATTTGTCTTGTTTTCTATTTATTTGATTCCAACATCAATACGCTAGGATGAATACAAGGCCGAGTGGTATTATAACAAATTTGCAAATAAGCTATAATAAATATTTTTATCATTACTTATTTAAAATCATTAATATAGCTATAACATATATTTTTATTGAAGACCACATCTAGATTTTCAAGGCTATATACATGCATAAAATAATTCATATAAGGGTCAATCCATTAGAAAAGAAACACTATTCGTCTGTGTATACATCGCTTACTTGTTTCTTTAGCAACGAAATACTATAAAAATTAAGATTATTAACAAAGAAAAGTATTGCTAAATCAAATAAATTAATGAAAAGATATGGGAAACTATCGCTCTATTTTAGCAAAAACGTAAAGTTAAATAATATCAAAAAATTTAGCCAATTGTGAAATAATTTTTGATAAATTAATAACAATTTTCTTAAAAATAACACAAAGTATTATCGTTAGAAAGATTTCTAAAATCAAAATTCGCACGTTAATTAGCAATGCAATTTGTTGTTATTTGATTAAAAGTTTGAGAAAAAACTGATCTAACGTAATGTAAAATTAATATTAGTTGCTATATATGTATATACTTGTATATTTAGATGTTCATATAACACTTTTCTAATTTAAACAAGAAAAACTAATATAAATCATTGCTCTCATTTTCTCTCCTTAATTATATTCAACCTTTGTCATCATGGCTACTACAAATTACTTATCCACGATTTGTATGATGATGGTCATCTTCTTTGCTTCCTATGTCTCGACAGATCCTGATATGCTTCAAGATGTCTGTGCTGCAGATTTTACCAATGGTAATTCGAATTCCTACAAAGATTTCATTTTTAATACTTTGTATCTATCTATAGATATATATATGCTTAACTTCTTTAGGGTTTAAGGATGTGAAATTGTAACAAAGTAATGTTGTACATCTATGAAACATGCAGACGACATAATAAAACTGAATGGATTCCTATGCAAAAAACATGCATCATCTGATGATTTCTTCTTCTCTGGGTTATCGTATCCAAGATCAACCGACAACGCATTTGGAGCAACTCCGACTCTAATCACTGTCCTAAACATCACCGGCCTGAACACCTTGGGGATGGCGGTATCACGTATTGACTTTGCTCCGGGAGGCCTGAATCCACCACACCTCCACCCACGAGCCAGTGAGATATTTTTTGTATTAGAAGGTGAATTGGAAGTCGCATTCATAACAACAGAAAACAAACTTTACTATAAGCCAGTTAAGGGTGGTGAACTATTCGTACTCCCTAAAGGGTTGATTCATTTCCAGATAAACAGAGGGAATGAAAGTGCTGTAGCCATAGCTGCCTTCAACAGCCAGTTTCCAGGTATCCAAAGGGTGCCAAATGCTTTGTTTGGATCGTATCCCGATGTGCCTAATGATGTGTTGGCTAAAACATTCGGGATTGGAATCAATCAAGTGAAGAAAATTAAGTCATGGCTTGATTCCTAAAAACTAGAATTACTATAGTGCGTAAATGTGTGTTGAGTTATGGGGTTTTTAAGTATTTCTATGTGTTGTTTGGTTATTCGTGAGGATTGTTGAATCTTTGGAAGTTGAATGGTGTGGTGGTTCACTGTTTGAACCCATGAATAAAACACACTTGATGTTGCTTAATTTAGGTCTTTTATAATTAAGGCTTCATGTTTTTGATAGCTAATATAATAAAACAAGCGACTTCTTGTCTCTCAGTTATCTTTTAGATTTTTGATTTATGAATTCAGAAATTCCTTATTCATTTAGAAAAATATATACTATATAGATTATATCATTATATGTACATGGAAACATTATAAGTCCTCCTCTTATAGATTATAAGTGCTCCAAACCATGAATTTTTTTTATTATTATCATTATTATTATTGTTTTTAATAGAAGTAGGTTGTTTTTAAACTAATTGTAAAAACAGGTTAGTTTCAAAAATAGTTTGTAGCCTTTCAATTTTTGTCTTTTTTTTATCTACATCTTTTTAATAGAAGTAGGTTGTTTTTAAACTATTTGTAAAAACAGGTTATAAATTATATATTATTTTTAATAAGTTATATCATTAAACCTTCAAATAGATATCAATATTAAAATGAGATTACAAGATTTATTAGAACAGATATTACAATTCATATAATTAAGCACATAATTACAATACAAATAAAACACTAAATTACAACATTAATGAAAAAAAATTACATAGTTCGTATTGCATTAAATCTTGGTTAAGAATTTGAACAATTTCTTTTATTATGATTAGGTTGGTGACACATATTTCATATCTATGAAGTTAGTTAGGATGACGAGTGTTCATTTTGTTACAAAATTTGTTTGTACATCTAAGACCTCAATGAACACAAAGTTTTGAGTTATCTGTTTTAATCTTATAATCTCACTCCAACCAATATTCAACATGAGAAAGTGGGACATATATATATATATATATATATATATATATATATATATATATATATATATATATATATATATATATATATATATATAGTGTACAAAATATTTACAATAGAAAGAAGGCTATCCATTCTATAACTAGAAACTACAACAACATGAAAACAAGGAAATCTTTTCATTTATCACTTACCATATGCTCATGTGTGTTGAGAGTAATGGATAATGTGATTCCTCTAGTGTTATTTATCTGTAACTTTGTAACAATTCTATAGACACCTTCATTTTGATCAAAATTGGTTATATTATGGCTTTCTGCATGCATTTTTTGTTTAACAAAGAGATGTCACGTGCTTGATGATAGAGGTGTATTGCAATTCATTGTGATATCATAGTATTTTCTAAAAGGTTGTACATTTCTCCTAAATGTAAGATCAATACACATCCTAATTGATAATTGTCTTGCTCCTTGCAATACATTGTTCATACTGAGGGATATTTGTTGTCAAGAAACCTGATGGATGACTTTCATCATATACAAGACACTATCGAATACTCTTAATTTGCTTTAAATTATGCAAGCTTCATAATTGATTTTTATTTTTTTCATGTATTTAACAAACTTTAGATTTTATGTGGTGCTATCAATAACCCAACATTTCTTTTAATTCTTATACATTTGCATGAAATTACTTCAAATATGTCAAATGACTTTCTCCTACCATTTCATGCCTTATAGGAAACATCAAAACTTAGACTATTTTGAATATCTAATCATATATGTTTCACTAGATAAATAATATCCTTTTCAATTGAATGAAGCATATATGAGACAATAGTTGCAAAGTTTAGATATTTGTTATTATTTCTGATAGATGATCCAAAAAACTTATATGCATCCATCTAACATGTAATCTTCCACTTATGATGATTTTTTTCTTAGTTTCATGAACATGTCATACACATTGTGGTGTATAATGCTTAATACTAGAGTTTTTGTTAGGAAATTTTGGTTTGTGGTGGAGATCTAGATTGTATCGTGAGAACATTTTCCGAACTAATATTTCTAACATATGTCTGGGTTGCAAGAAATCTATCCTAGGATTATCCGCATGGACACTTATGGTACTAGGCACAAAAATCGAAAGCCAAATTGCTAGAAAGATTCTGTGAAAGTTTGAAGAAAACGAGAGCTAAATAAATTCTTGTGTTTCTTCTGAGAAGGAAGAACCATTTATATAATAAACGAGATTAAGGTTTCATTAAGGTTGGGTCATCATGAGTTGTTTTGGAAGCAATTCAGGGTAATCCGGATTTTAATGAGGATTTAGGGTTACCAAAACTAACGAGTTTCATTAGTTTTACCATAATCACCCTCAGGAATCCTATAGCCAGGAGCCAAAAGATAATAGCATAACTCATCCAATGTTAAATAATTAAGGTGATTATAGAGCCTAACATGTAGCCAACAGAGAATATGCACGAAGTAAACAATTCATTCCGAGATCATATGAAAGAGATATAACAGTCCAAAGATTATGAAAAATTCAACATAAACTTAAAATTGCTAGAAAAAAACAATAACATCCCTTATTTAAAGTGCCATCACTCAACCAATACTAATCTATTTAATGTGATTTCATAGTCTAACTTGTAGCCAACATAGAAGAAAACATGCCTAACAAATCAGCTCATTTCAAACTCATATGAGAGAGAGATACGAGGATCAGAACCAGAACCGATACTAGTACCGGTAACAGTCGCAATACCGATACCAGGTACCAAATTTCTCTTAAATCGATGGTAGGAACCAAATGTTCCCTAATCTACTATTGCTATTACAATGTTGATATCCTAGTCACATATATAACGTCTATTATCTGTCGAATCTTACCCGATTTTAAAAAACAGCATATTTTATTAAAAAAAATTGATATTTAAGTGTCAGTTTTATAGTTATGGCACTCGAGAGTTCTGAATAAACCCAAAAAACGAAACCCAGAGAGTATGTTTCCACCCAAATTCCAGTTACGAAGTAAAGCAATTAGATCAAATTTCTGCAATCGTTCGAATTTTGCTCTCTTTTTCACGCATACTACTTCGTGTGATGAAGAAAGGAAAGAACAACACCTTGAAGAAAGCATTACTAACAGGTCTTATTGGACCAGAAGAATCCACAAGCTTTGTGCAATCGATCGCAATGTCGATGAAGCAATCACCCTTGTTGACAAGCTTTGCATCCATGGATACCACCTCGATTCGCTCAACCTCAGCAGCATAATCCACGCTCTCTGTGATTCCAACAGGTTTGCTGAAGCTCACCGTCGTTTTCTCTCATCTCTTTCTTGCTCTTCAGGTAATGGTTTTATCATACCAGATGAACGGACGTGTAACGTGATCATTGCAAGGTTATTAGATTGGGGGAAAAATCCCCATGTCACATTGCGTCTTGTGCATAGAATTATCGCTGTGAAACCTCATTTTGTCCCATCGTTGATGAATTTTAACCGTTTGATCAATCAGCTTTGTTCGTTTTCATACGTTCATTCAGCACATGTTTTGTTCTTTCATATGAAGAGTTTAGGCCATCTTCCTAATGAGGTTTCCTACACTACTTTGATCAATGGCTATTCCAGAATTGGGGAACTGGGATTTGCACATAAGCTGCTCGATGAAATGTCTGAATCTGGGGTAAAGCCTAACTCACTAACATACAGTGTCTTAATCCGTGGAGCTCTTCATGTAAGGAATATCGAACTCTACACCTCATTGCTTCAAAAACTATGGACAACAATGGCTAATGAAAATCATGATCACATTGTCAATCATGCTGCTTTTTCGAATCTAATTCATGCTTTATGTCAAGAAGGAATGTTCAAATCAGTTTTTGAAATCGCTGAACAGATGCCACAAGAGAACAACGTGAACAATGCTTTTGCTTATGCCCAAATGATAGACTCACTTTGTCTCCATGGAAGACATCATGGTGCTTCAAGAATAGTTTACATCATGATGAAACGAAATTATATCCCAAGCTTAGTTTCCTACAACTCAATCATCCATGGACTTACCAAAAATGGTGGATACCTTAGAGCATATCAATTATTAGAACAAGGGATCGAATTTAACTACACACCATCTGAAAACACTTACAAGATTCTCATACAATGTCTTTGTTTACAAGAACACAATCTTATAAAAGCAAAGAAGCTTCTTGACATTATGTTAAACAAAAAAGGGGTAGACAAGGTTAGAATTTACAATATTTACATACAATCTTTATGTCAAATGAATAAAGATTCTTCAACCGAGCTTCTAAACACCCTTCTCATCATGCTCGAGACAAAATGTCACCCTGACATAATTACTCTCAACACAATTATCAATGGATTTTGTAAAATGGGAAAACTTGAAGATGCAATGAAGGTTTTAGAAGATATGTTAATTGGAAAGTTTAACTTTTGCACTCCTGATAATGTGACATTTACTACAATTATAAGTGGTTTATTAACATTTGGAAGATTAAAAGAAGCTTTTAACATTTTATATAAAGTTATGCCCGAAAAGGGTTTTCACCCGAGTGTCATAACATATAATGTTGTTCTTCGTGGTTTGTTTAACCTCGGTCTTGTGAAAGAAGCCATGGAAGTGTTTAACTCTATGGGTTTTGGTACAGATACTGGTACTGATACTGACAAACTGATTGATAATAGTAAAAATGTGATATCTAGATTTGAACTTAAGACTGGTACTGATTATGACATTCTTACTGTTGGGACAAACATGTGGGGCCTGGTTGCTGATAGTACTACACATGCAATAATGATTGATGGATTATGCAAATGTGATTGTGTAGATGAAGCGAAGGTGTTTTGGGATGATGTAATTTGGCCTTCGGGGGTTCATGATAATTTTGTGTATTCGGCTATGATTAAAGGGCTTTGTGGATCCGGGAAGTTTAATGAAGCTTGTGATTTTGTTTATGAATTGGTGGATTGTGGGGTTAGGACAAATGTTGTGAATTATAATATTTTGATTGAAGGTGGTTGTAAGTTGGGTTTAAAAAAAGAAGTGTATCAGATTTTGGGGGAAATGAGGAAGAATGGAGTGGAACCGGATTCGGTTACATGGAGGATAATTGATAAATTACATAAGCAAAAGAAAGAATGGAGTTGTGAAGACAAAATCAATGTATAACATGTATGGTTTCTTTAATTGTTAAGTCATTGGTTAAATAAGGTTATATAAGTAATATAGTTACCTTTTGGTTATTAGTAGTTTTGTTGTAGATGGTATTAATGTTATGTTTGAGATACTAACTGTTAACTGAAAAGCTAGCTTCTAGTTTATAAGTTAGCTGATAAAAAATGATGTTTGATAAAAAAAAAAAAAAAACTAGCTGAAAAATACAAAACAATATAAAAAAGCATTTACAAGAATACTTTTTATATAATTAATTAAGGTTATATTTAAAAAAAATTTAAAAATCTTTCGAAAAGCTTATCTACACAGTTTTTTAAAAAGTTAGTTATAATTGATAATTTGGTTACCCTTTGATAGTTACTTACATAAAATACACTTATGTAAGTAATTTTTAAGTTGCTATTTTCCAAAAATCGGGTATTATAGCATCATTTTTTATAACATCCCAAATCTTAAAACCAATTAATCAACGAAAGAGCATGAAATCATCATATTTTACAAGAAATGGTTGGATTTTGTGAGTTGTTCCCAAATCCCACCACCTCTAAATGTGATTCCAACAACCAAATGAAACATCACATATGAAAGTAAACTTTGATAAAACTCAAATCCGAACCAACATACAACTTCCAATGCATAACATACAACTCAACAAAGCATCATTACCTTCCGATTACAAGCAAATAACAGAATCCACCACCACCACCACCACCTTTATGTGTTCGATTTCTCTTGAATTAATTAAAAAAAAAAAAAAAGAAAAAAAAAAACACGAATCACATTCAAACAATACTCGGTGGGTTCCCTTCCCAATTACAAACCGCCCTCGCCCACCGCGTCCTAACACAATCCACCAACGGAGCATGCTGAGTCCGCTCCGGTTTCTCCACCTCCACCACCTCATCACCACCACCACTACCGCCACCACCACCCGCCATAAACTCCTCCGGCGTCCACCGCGGCGGGACCGAAACCCTCAACTTAGTCAACCTCGGCCGTTGCACGCCAACCTCACTCCCGGAAACCGCTTTAGCAATCCCATTAAAATGCCACAAGGAAAAGACCTTTTTACCCATCAACCCTGTGGAATCCTTCAACCCACCAAACCCTTTATCCAAATCCAAAAGCACTTGCCAAAACTCACTCCAAACAATAAACCCCGAAGAACACAACGCCTCCATTTTTTCCGGCGGGAGGTTCACGTTTGTTTCCCGGAGGACTTGCCGGAATCCGTCGACGGAGATGAATCCACCGCCGCCGGACTGGTCTTGGGAGTCGAAGGCTCGCCGGATTGTGGTTTCGCGGTTTTCGAATTCGTTTTCGGCCTGGACCTGAGGGTCCAGGGCGAATAAGACGGTGTAGTGGGATTCACTTCCCACTACCCAGATTGGCCATTTTGGGGATTTTAAGGATTGGCCGACTTTGCAAAAATTGAGGGATTCTAGTAATGTGAGGAATCCGACTTCTACGGGAGTCAAGATTCCTTTGACAAACATTCCGCCGCCTAAATCCATTTTTCCATCGAATACGTTGGCAACTGCCATTCCCGAGAGTAGGAGGTTAACAATTTCCTGAAGGGAAGACATAAAGGGAAATTGTCAGAAAAGTCTCAATATTTTCGGAAAAGTTTCACTTTAGTCCCAATTTTTTTTTGGGGACATAAAAGTCCTGATTATTTCATTTTGGCTCAAATTAACAAAAAAGTCGTTTTTTTCTTTTAATAGGAAATGACATACTACTGTGTAAAATCAAATAATCGGGACTTTTCAATGAAAAAAAAAAGGACGAAAGTGAAACTTTTCGAAAATATTGGGACTTTTCTGACGATTTCCCAAGACATAAAATATTGATTTGTTAAGGATGTGTAGATGATTTTTAATTTTTTTACTATGTTGTAATTATACATGAGAAATGTTAAGTGATGATTAATAATAGTAATGATGAGATTTTTTATATGGTTGTGTGTAATTTGTTTCTTTTGCATATATTGGGGTAAAAGTGAGAAATTGGTTAAAAAAAGGTGGACTATGGTGTAAATTAGTAAAAAACTGAAATACTGTTTGCATAAAAAATGGTAACTATTGTATAAATTGGAAGAATATGAAATATTGTTTGCATGGATTAGTAAAAAGGTGCAATTTTGCTTACATAAAGTGGCAACTATTGTATAAATTGGTAAAAAAGTGAAATGCGGATTGCATAAATGGGTAAAAAAGTTAAATACTGTGACAAATTGGTAAAAAAGCAAAATGTTATTCGCATAAATTGGTAAAAAAGTGAAATGTTGTTGCATATAAATTGGTAAAATGAAGTGAAATATTGTTGTATGAATTGATAAGAAAAGGTGGAAATGTTGTATAAAATTGGTAAAGAAGTGAAACAATGTTTGCAAAAATTTGTAAAAAAATTAAAACATTATTGAATAAATCTAAATAAAAAATGAAAACTTGTTGCATAGATAAGCATTTCTGGAATAAAAAGCGGTTGCATATTTCGACTAAAAACAAACTTTGTTGCATAAATTGGAAAAAAAAATGTAAAATTTTGTTGCATAAATACATATTTAACCCAATAAATAATTATTATCACAATACTAAGGAAAAAAAATGGTATGTGAATAATACCTGTGAAGCATGTCCAAATGGAGCTGTAACTAAAGGTTGGCTAGGGTCATCCCTGTCAGATTGAACTGTTTCCTGAAAAAAAAAAATGAGAGATTAATATTTATAAAAGAAAAAATATATTTTCTAGTTATTTTAGAAAATAGAATTGCAATTTAACTAACATCATCATATCGAAGTTGAATAGAAAAAAGAAAGAAAGAAGAGTTTTTTTTTTTTTTTTTTTTTTTTTTTTTTTTTCTGTGTATTCCAATGGAATCAACCATTCCATTCCATCCTTGATTCCATCATACCAAACATGAAGGAAAGAGAATGAAGAGTGAAATAGGAATAATTAACTAACATACCAATCCCCGAGAAAGCAAAGCAGAAAGTAGGAATAGGAGTGCCCCCATACGACTACGGAAGATTGGAATCATTGATTCCAGCCTCTGCATTGCACTTGCAGGAGATGTGAATGTGGTCACTGTCAAAACTTTTTGCAAATCAACACCGGATTCAAGTGAAAGACCTTCAAGTGATCTTGCAACAATCTGTTAAATAAAATCATATCATCTTAAAATCAATATTTAAAAAAGTCAATATAACGGAAATTACGAAAGTGACCTTACCTCATCTTTTGCCTTTTCATCTTCACCCTCAATGTTCTGGTCAAAAATTTTCAGAGAAGCGATTGTTGCACTGTTATTATTTCCACATAAGAACAATATTTCACCCATGCTCCTCACCAAGGCTCTACAAGTAAAGTATAAATGTCTTTCAGAACATTTTAGTTTAAGAGTGAAAATTACCAATAACCCCTCACATTGACATCGGTACAAAGATGATAAAGGGCATTTACGTCATTTGCAAAGAAAAAAGATCACCTTGATTTTGTTTCTTCGGTTAGAGAGCCAAATATATTTGACACAGAATCTTGATTTTCCTGCAGTCTTCTTGAAATTGATTTCATTGGTGTATTTTGAACACCTTTTACTAATTCTTGTGGGAAAAACAGGAGGTATTTAAGAACAAATGCCTGCAAAATGAAAATAAAAAAATAAAAAATTGAGATGTAGGAATTGTCGAAGTTGTCATGAATTCAATCTTTATGTGTAAAAACTGGTGTCATGTTTTGCACTGTGGTTCAAATATGTAATAATGTTTTTTAGTTTAATTTAGTTTCTGTTTTTAAGATTGAGACAAGTTTCAACTAACTACCAATAATTTTTTTTAAAGAATATATAATTTATAACGACATAAATGCAAGAAATTTACTTGTATAGCTGCTAAGACACCACATGGCCCACCTTCATGCTGAACTAATCCCATTGATGTTTCTTCATCAGGACTAAACCTACAAGCAAATTATATTTATTCTCTAGAATAAGAAAGGAGCAAGGTTTTACATAGCATAAAGTGAAAGGATAGATGCAATAAACAACATACTTTCATTTATTTGTTTATTATACTCTTTCAGCAAATATGTAACGTATACACACATAAAACTAAAAGTTATGCTGCTGCATTGTTAATTTGTTATTGCTAAGGTGACGTCTGGGAGATGTCCTCCTTATTCAAGTATATGGCACATTAACTCTCCTTTAACAAAAATGGACGCGAATTTTTTATTCAAATGCATTGTTTAAATCATTAAATGAGATAAATTCTTTAGCGTGAATTAGTTTCGATGTCTTAATTGTTTTTAAAGCACTCTAGAAATTCATCATGCGTAACATTAATTTCTATGGTCACATTGAAAACTTGGAAGTCATGCGAGAACACCTTCAACCGTGTAAGATAAATCTAATTGTCATTTCTTACATGCTTCTTGGAGTAGCATGGAGCTAATAATAGGGATGCAATGCTGCATCAATGAACTCAAAGAAGAGTCTCATTCTAAGAATCCTTCAATCTCCATAATTTTAATGTCTCAAAATGAAAGCTTTACCTCTAGATTGATCTAATTCTAAGCTGATAAAAGTTTTGATTCAATTCTCAACTGATATATAGGCATTAAGCATGGGTTTTATATGTCCGATTAGATTATACAAACTAAGGTTACAAAAATAATTGCTAACTAAACTATGCACTACATAAACTGCGAGATCGATAGGAAAGCAGTAAATGTTCGATTGCATTATATAACCAATCGCCATACCTGATTCCCTGATTGCTCCACTGCGCAAGTATTCCCTTTGAAACTTCATTTCCGAACACCATTGAGAATAGCTGTTGTGCTTCATCCGATGATAACTCTTTCCCCAAAAACTTGTCTTCCTTCACTATCGCCACAGTTTTATCCACTCTTGACGATGAAGCCTCCGAGGAAGAAGGAACATCCTTAGGCGCACTAGTAATAGTAGCAGTCGTGGGCATAGCTGCCGATGCCGC